ACGCATAAGTTATTCGTTTAGTCTGCAGTCTGCAGTATAATCAGCGACGTTGCTGGTCTGTTGTACGTGGTTAGCGGGTCACGAAAACTGCACACGGCTGCACACGTGCACGGGTTTCTAAGTCGACTAACTTAGACTCGACGAAAAGAAAATATCTGATGTTCCAGTTACGCGTTTACTTTCGGGTTCCCGTATTTTCAGCAAATGATCGTCGTGAAACCATCGTTGGGAACATTAGCGATCCGTTTTTCCTTTTTCCTCGATGCATCCTTCGAATACGTGCACAACCACAACTACGAAAATAACGTCTATTACGTAAATTTTACTCCCTATCGCGGTCAACTAAATTCACTAAAGTATCTCGTACGTGGTCTGTTTTCGATTCTAAGGGACTAATGAATTCACTCACTTGTGTAATTTCAACAATCACTTGAATCACACAGCTTGTAACTATACAATAAATCAACGTGATTATTCAATTGCCTATTATGAGAAAAAATATGACTTGCTACGGATGAATCGAAGAAAAGATGTAAAAAACGGTACTATATTCTCGGGTCAACTTGTAATTGCTTCATTTATATGGTTTGATCATCAATGCTGAATCAGATGTGTCAGGCACGACACGAAACACGCGACACGCGACATACACTTGATAGAACTATCGAAGTTTTGCACTAATCAGTTGTACACGAAAAATCGAATAAACGATTCATCCAAGAATTTTGAACAAGCAATTGAATAAAAAAATAAATAAAATAGAATTTTTGTTTTGTCGATAATTGCACATTATGTTTTCAATAAATTAAATTTAAACGAATTTAAATGTATACCGCATGTTTATAATAATTTCATCGAACTGATTCAGCATCCTCTTTTTCCGTGCTATTGGCGTCTAATTAATTTCTTACGAATTGAACAACATTAATCACTAACTAATTTTTCAAGAATGATTCAATGAGAAACTGTACTTACAATTAGATGACCAACTAGCCCTGATAATATCGTCTCAATGCTAACACTGAGTCAGCAATAGTCTCCCTAAAATGACTTGCAAACAGTTATTCATAGGGCAAATTTCAGTAATTAATCATCCATGTTTTTTTGCCCTTCCCTTTGATTTACCATAGACAAAATTATAAAAAAAACGCTAAGACGAAAAGAACATTCTTTTTCATCAAGCAGATTTTGTAACATTATCCTTGACCACGGTTGTGACATAGAATGAACTCCCTTAAAAGTATAAATGTTGTTCCTTTACGCAGAATCCAACAGTACATTTTTCAATCAATTCAATCGCATTCAAATTACATTGCACATGTCATCGATATTTTACATTTAGGTGGATAAGCATCCTTTATTTGAATCAATGGAATGAATCCATCGAATATCCTTGGCACTAAACACAGAAACTATAATGATAATGTGAAGAGTCCAACAAATTTCAGCTCGAACAAAGGAAAACGAATTTAATAGAACGACACGCAAAACTGAAAAAAGTGACATGTTAAAACATTTATCAAACTAAAAAAAGGAATAGAAAAATAAGAGAAACACGAATCGTCGAAGAGAAAATTCTTTTCAGGTGTCTAGGTTCCGTATGTATATACTAAAATCGGGCAAATTATTATTCAGTGATTCACACCGCGCGACAAAGATAGAAAACTGACAAAAAATACTTTTTTTTAATTTTCAAGACATTTCTCACTGGTCCTCCCGTTTCCTTGTTTTCCCGTTTTCCCATTTTCTCGTTTGCACGTATTCTCAATTCTTTGTTCCGATACTTGGCAAATTGTCGAACATCACAATGGGATTTATTGTTTTCGCAGTAAATTCTAATCTATTTATTCGATGTTTCACACGTCTAGAGAAAGAACATAAACCTGTAAGTCTCGTTGCAGCGATAGAATGAAGCACAGTAGCAAGAATCCGTCAAATTATCCTCAACTTATCACGCTGCAGAATAACTGAGAAAATAGCCAGTACGAAAATAGCCAAGAAAAAATAAAGCAGAAAATAGGTGGCTAAGGTTTATGTTCTTTGAAAACGGGCAAATTTTATTTAGAGAATCATGATATTACGCACGACAAACAAAAGCTAAAACGCTTCATTCCACGAGAATTCGCCACTTCGTTGTTTTTGTTCCAAATTTCTTTGATATGATGTCAATATTTTTACCTCTTGATTCTATTTTCGCAGTGACTCTGTTTCTTTTATGAAAGTTTTCAAAAACAGGAAAAATACGATCGTCAAC